AATAATAATAATAATAATAATAATAATAATAATAATAATAATAATAAAATAAATAAATATATAATATATAATATATATATATATATATAATATTTATAAAATAAATAATTATCATTTATAATGATAAATTATTTGTCATTATAACAGGAAAACATAAACGAGAAATGTCCAACATAAATAACAAAGTAAATACTCGTATTTAATATTTATTTGCTAATCTTATCAAACAAATACTGCTCACAATTGTATGGTATGAATCCCTTAACAATGGTATTTATGCAAATTAAATAAGCTACTAATGAATTTTGTGTGCAAACTAAATCATAGAAAACCTATGAGGACAATCTTAATTAGAAAATTTAGGTACATTTAATAAATAAAAAATATAATAAATACAAACAATTGTATTCAGATTCTCTGTCCCGATGTTTTTCGATGTCAGAAAAACCACAAAATAATGTTTTGGAATAAAAATAAAACATGATGATATGCATACGAGTTTAATAATAGCATATTTTAAAAGTGAATATTTACACTTGAAATAACGTATTATTAAAATAATACTAATCTCCTTCGTGTTTAATGAATTATTATTCTATGATAATAAAGTAATATTTTAAAACCAATGTTTTTCGATTATCAAATTATATTGGTTGCCCAAATCAATCAACTCAAATAAGTACCATTGTGTACTAAAATATTGGTTTGTGAAACACAAAATACATATTTCAAAGAAAATGAATGTACAAATACAAACAACGATTTAAGTATGAAATCAATATAAAAAATTTATCAAAAAATGTACACATAAAACATTCTGAAATTTGATTAATTTTCTATTTCGATAAGAAGGGCAAGAGACTTATCGGCCTGTATGAGGATGGGTCGTCTAAGGGTTTATCAGGTTTAGGAAATAATATAATTTTTGAGAATTTCCAAAGGATCGGAAAGTAGGAGAGTCTTAGGCATGCATTAAATATATATGTTACCAGTACTATTGCTTTTTTGGGGAGGCATCTAGCTACTTCTGCCGTTAATAGGTCGTAACCTGGCGATTTTTTTAAGGAGTATTTTTGGATAGCTTGTTTGATTTCATTGGGCGTGAAATATTTTTCAAGATGATTGGAGGTTGAGGGAAGGTCTAAACCAGCCTTTACCTCATCAACAAATTGAGGTATGAGTATGTTATGATGTGGTTGGAAGGTTTCATGTAGGTGTGCTTTAAGAACTTCGGCTTTATCGGTATCAGAAGAAGCAAGTGTATGGTCAGGTTTCTTTAGAGGGGTAGAAGGAGTTTTAATACTAAGTAATTTCTTGGTTTCTTTCCATAAGCTACCGTCGGAAAATGAAAGATTGGTTAGTTTTTGTTCTAGTGTATCCGCTTTGTTTTTAGCTAGGGTTTTTTTTTAGGGAGTTGGCTAACTTATTATAAGCGTTTTTGTGTGACGGTAGACGCGTGCGTTGATAAACTGCTCTGGCTCTACGTTTTTCCACAATTAGTGAGCGTATCTGTTCAGGAAGGGGAGTCAGATTCTGGACTGAGTGCTTAGAGGTGGTTAAAGTATTGGATAATGAGGCTGCTGAGTGGATAAGTTCGGATAAGTTATTGATTGCTTCGTCAATATCGTGCTCGGTCTTTAACTTTATTGAAAGATCAACTTTTTGGGCAATTATGTTATGAAATGTATAACGATTGGTTGATGGTGAGAAAAGAGAGTGGCTAACTGAATTTATTTGAGGAGTCGCATCAACATTTAGTATTACAGACGAGTGATCCGAGTTTAAGTCTAAGATATTGTTTACAGCACAGTATAAATTACTCGGAGTTTTTGAGATAAATATGTCCAGAATATCAGGTTTTTTTCCTGCGCGATGTTGGCCAGTATGTTGGATCAGGTGGTGCAAGTATTTTAAATTTTTTAACATTGGTAAAATTGTGAAATAGGTTACCGCGTGGGTTAGTAACTCGGCATCCCCAGCTTTGGTGCTTAGCATTAAAGTCACCACCCGCAATAAAGTTGTTAGGAAATGTGTCAAAATATTCGGTGAGATTAGTGTCTGTTATAAGGTGCTTGGGAGGGCTGTAAACTGCTGCAATACAAATAGGAATATTATTAAGTGTGATTGAGATGGCGCAGGATTGGATATGATTTTGAGAGAAGTTGGAAAGAGGATAGAATTTTAAGTTAGTTTTAATAAGTATAGCTGCCCCACCATGTGCTGTACCATCAGGATGGTTAGATTTTAGTAGGTAATAACCTGGAATGGAAATGTGAGAATATTTGGTAAAATGAGTTTCTGATATTAAGGCGATATCTATGCGCTTGTCAAAGAGTACTGTCTGGAGCTCATTAACATGATTTTTTAGGCCGTTAGCATTAAATAGTAAAATAGATAATGAGTTATTAGTGTAGGAATTAGTCATTGTTTTTGTTTAGAAGTGAAGTGATGACTTGTGTCAGGAGAGCAATTAAAGGGTTAATAAGAGATTTTAGTTCACCTACAAAGGAGGACATGAGTTGAGTTAGGTCGGAGGGTGGAGAAGGTTGAGGTGGTTGACTAGCTGTGGCCTGTGCATAAGTTTTTGTGGGATTAGATTCATTCTTATCCGAAAGGGTAGCGAGTGGGTGGCTTTCTTTTACATTATAAGGTTTAACATTTGGTTTGATAGTATCATGTAAGAAATTACTTTTATTGGTCGGCGTTTTTCGGCGTTGAAGTTCCTTGTAGACGATGCAACCACGGTAGTTGGCTGGATGATCTCCAGAGCATAGTACACATTTGGCAGGGGAGTCGGGCGACTTAGTGCATTCGGAAGATGGATGATGCGCGCTGCATCTAACGCAGCGTGCTGAATAACCGCAATACGCCCGGGTATGGCCGTAGTCTTGGCAATTTTGGCATTGGCTAATTAACTTAGGCTTGTATGGTTCTTCAACCTTAATTTTTGTGTGCAGAAGGGAAGATAATTGGTAGATTTGATTAGAGTGTTCGGTAGGTTCTAAATCGACGAAAAACAACGGGAGTGGGTGCTTGCTGGTTTTGTGTAGAACATTCGTGACTTGTCTGACTTCGAAGAGGCGCGTCTCGAGTTCAGATTTTATTAGTTCAACTGGCGTAGTAGGGTGGAGATTGCGGATAACTATCCTCGTGGGTTTGTCCTCCGCAAGTTGGTATGTGTGGTATTTAGCGTTATGTTCTTTTAAATAATGTATTAGAAGTCTATAAGATTCGGGATTGGCGGTCTGTATTTTTAAGCGGTCTGTGGTGGCTTTGCAAATGAAGTTATCAACTCCTATCAACTCAATTAAAGTTGTGCAGAAAAAAAAAAAAAAAAAAAAAAAAATATTTGATTCACGCATAAAACTGTGCTTACAAAATAAGCGATGTATAATCATTAAACAAATTAATATAAATTTATGATTGAAATTCAATAATACATTTATTGTGACGTTCTAATAATATAACAAATTAAATTATTTTCTCGATTTCAACAATACAGAGTATAAGACTTGTATTTTAATTACTAAATAAATACGTTAATAGTAATTTCTCAATATTGAATACTACATACGAGCATTATAATATGTAGTATTGTCCTTATTTTTTTGTTTAAATTTTTCGCAGCAGGTCAGAAATAATATTACATATACAACTATATTGGTCTGTACAAGGGTATCGTTTCAGACCTGTTTAAAACATATCGAAATATAAATAGGGTATTTTCATCGTTAAACCTCAATTAACAAGAAGAAAAAAAAAGAATCAAATCAAATGCTGGCACAACCCAATAAAGTATTGATCGAAATCAGTGGAGTGTAAACGCCAATAAACCTTGCTAACATTCAAAAAAATTTCTCAATGTGTATTATGTCAAGAATCATTAGCTATGTTCATGGGCGCCCGCAGGAAATTTATCAGGGGGG